ATCCATTATTTATCTTATTATCATATTCTTACTGTCATTATTATTATTTATGTGTATGTATACACATATATATGTATTAACACGAAATCGAGAGTAGAATTACCTTGGGCCGGCGCAGAGTGTAGGCTTAGGGACATTATCACGTGGGGAGGTCGACTCCTCTTTCACCTTCATTCTTCATGTCCTTGCCGAGCTCCTTGATTCCGATATTTTTTGTTGTTTGCTACAGCTTGATTCTATCTATTACATTGATTCTATCTATTACATCGATTACAACACTCTCTTGGGCTTCCTACCTCCATTTCTTACAAATAAATGTACAAGTCCCTTTGGACACAAGATTTTTACAATAAATATGCACTTTGTAAGCCCTTAATCAATACTAATATTATCAGGCCCAAAAACTAAACCCATTTTTACTAAGCCCAATAAAGATGGCCCTTTCCACTTATGTGGTCTTTCACTATCAATCTCGATTAATAGGGTTGTGAGCTCCCTTCAAAACGCCCATCTCAAATTTTGCTCTCCTGCTCCTCTTCTTCGGCGAAGACCCACTCCAAGTCGGCTTCCCGCTTCAGATCGACTTTCCCAACAGAGTCGAGATTCAAGATGCGTGTTCGGTTGGACTCGAGAATCGGGTTGTGCGGTGGAACTCGTTTTTCGGCGGTTCGGCATCCATGGATTCGGTGGCGTTGCAGATCGACATCTGGATTTGAGGTCGGGTAAGATCGCCGGTTTTGAGGTCAGATTTTAGTCGAGATTTAGGGATGGCGAGGTCGGAGACGGTAGCTGATGTCGGCCGTCGTGGTGTTGGCCCGGCATCCGCTGCAATTTCGAAGCTCGTCGGCGGACGGTGGAGCGAGTTCGGCCGCCGACGGTGTGAGAATGAGCTCGGCCGACGGCCGTGGGGTCTGAAATTGGAGACGACGGCAGCGAGGGTGCGAGGTCGGGCTTCGGTGGTCTAAATCTAAGGTCGGCGTCGGAAAGAAATTCCGGCCGGAGTGATGCCGGAGAAGTCGAAGTCGGGTCTGACGGGGTGATTCAACTCGGCTATTGGTGACTCGAGAGATCGGTCGGCAATATGGGCGCGGTTGTTGGGAAGCTCGGCATCTGAATTCGAGAACGGCGGCAGCGGCTTGGTGTCTGATTTTGACGACGGGGTTCTCCGGTAGCGGCGGCGGTTTGGCTTCTGGGTTTGAGGGCGGCCTCAGCTAGGTTGGCTTCTTCCGTCTGTGATGTTGGTTTCCACGGCGCCTACAGTTCGGAGGCCCGGTCGGTGATTGGGAAGCGATCGGTTGACGTAGTTCTCGGGGCCGATCCGGCGACTGTAAGGTCGGCCCCGGCCGTCGCGATCACTGTTGGTCGAGGTCGGGTAGCACCTCGTCGCTTGATTTGAAACCCGAGCTGTGACGTGGGTCGAGTTCGGCACCTGTGAAGTTGGGCTGCCGGCTGTGAGGTTGTCGTCGGTCGTGTGCCGAGTTGATGCTCGTACTGTGGCGGTGTGAGCTCGGAGTCCGGCTGCCATGGTGTTTTTGGAGTCGGCGGCTCGACAGGTCGGCATCTGGACTTGTTCGGCGTCCAGGTTTGATGACGGGGTTAGCCTACCGGCGGTGGTCGCTCGGCGTCAGTGGAGTCTACTGCAGTGGCTCGACGTTTGAATCCGAGGTCGGCAGCGGGAGATCGGCGTCCGGGTTGCAATTGACCGTGGTCGGGGCTGAAGTCGGCGACGGCAATTTAATTGACTTGCGAGGTGACGGTGACGTCTGTGGATGTGCCGATGTGAGATCGGCGTTTCAGTGGTGACGTGGCCATGGGCAACGGTGAGGTCGGCCATGGACTGTGGTCGTCACCGGCTATGTTTCCGGTCCCGGGCTGAGGTCAGAGATTGGAGACGAAGAGGTGGCTAGTCATGGTGGTTAGGTTAACTCGCGAGGTCGGCCCCAGGCGGCTAATCGGTAGTTCGGCGTCGGGATCCGAAGATGGACGCGGGAGGTCGGTGTCCTTGTTTGAAGGCGGAGCTCGCTCCCGGCGGTTCGGCATCCGTGGGGTCGGCGGCGCGGCTGTGCATCTGGTCGGACCTGAGAACGTCGATGGCGACGGTTGGGGGTTTGACTGAACCTCGGTATTTGAATCTGAGGGCGGTGAGTTCGAAGTAGGATCTTGGCTGAGATTGGCAGTGAGATCGTGGATGGCGAGGTTGTACCCGATGGGAGGTCGGCAGACGGCGAGTTCGGCCATGGTGGCTGCGGTCGGCCCCAGTGGCTGAAACGGAGATGGTGAGGTCGGCACTCGTAGATGTTGAGGTCTGGTCCCCTCTGAAGTTTGAGGATGACGAGGTCGGCCCATTTGAAGATTGGTTGCTGTGAGCTCGGGCCCCGACGGCATGGTTGTGGTCGGATTGCAACTCGGTAATGAAGATGTTGATTTGGGGGTCTGACCGTGTCGAGGTCGGCACCCGATGAGTCTTTGATGGTCTGTCGTGGTGAGAAGTCGACCAGGTCGGGTCGGCTCATGGTCGAGATCGGCCCCAGCGACGAAGCGGGTTTGCGAGGTCGGCCTCGACGACATAAGGTTTGGATCGGCAAAGCCTGTTCGACTGTTTGATGTAGACCTCGGGCTGAGGTCGACCTCGGCGACACTGGTGTCTGTTACTCTGAATGCGTTTTTTACGCGACTTTTTTTTCTTTTCTTCTCTGATTTTTGATTGTTTTTTTTATTTAGTATATTACTGATTTATTTATTATTAGATCTGGATGTGATGTGAACAGTATAATACTGACAGAAACAGTGATAGCAATGTGGGTATGTTATGTCCAAGTGGGATGAATGGCTTTGTTCTGATTTTTTAATTCCACCGACAAAAGAACGAAAACAGAAAAAAGAATAGGGGAAAAAAAACACAGCAAAGAAAAGCCTTTGTTTTCTCAACCAAAATGCTGGAAAGGAGAATGAAATTACAATTTTTATGTGGGATTCTTTCAACTTACGAGCGAATCCAGAATCTCAAAGAAATTTGGGTACCCAAGCTACTGAGAGTTTATGGCGAAAAAAAGCAAAAAGACTGTGGAGTCTTGTGCTGATTTTTCTTCTGTACCTTAAAAATAGAATTAGAAATACCGAAAAATTAACATGAGAACACGGGTGTTCGTACCAAGCTTTAGGAATATTTCCCGGCGAAAATGTAGCCGTTTTCCGGCAAAAATTGACTCCGAGTAAATTACGGAGCCCTCCTTCTAGCGCCAAACTGTTGATGTCGAAAATCAGACGATCAACCGTCGAATATGTAATAAATTTGTTATATGAAAATGAAGAGCAAGATCATGAAAATCAATCATTCCTTTATTTCATTTTAGAGAGTATTTCCTCTCTCTTTTCGGTTTGTGTGGGGGAGAAGAAAAAAATGGGATCCAAGATCCCTCTCTCCTCTCTTTTCTCTCATATATATACATGAATTCCAAATAAAAATAATGCACTAGCTTTTTATGCAAAGTGACAACCGGGCAGCCCACTTATGTCTTTTAACGGCTTCGATTGACGTCTACTTTGTCTGCAATTATTGCGTCTACCGGAGGCGACCTCTCAATGATCAGTCCTGAGGTCCCATATATATATATTTATTTGTCATGTATTGTCGGCTCATTGATTATCTGGCCGTATTTTATTATTTTATTTATACGTTATTTAATTGGGGCCAAATTGGATATCAACACATGGTGTTCGACTTCTGGTTAGAAAGGTGTGACATGGATTGATCACTACAACAAATGTATTATGATAAACAAACAAAATGCCATAAGAAGAAGAAAATGAATTTCTGTTGTTTTTTGTTGACTGGTTGATTTAGATATGGAATAAAGTAGACTAATTATAGATCACAGAGTTCTCTCATTTTATTTACTAGTAAAGTGCATTTTATTTATTAGTAAAGTGCAGGGAAAAATTCAAAACTAGTCTTAAAGGTATAGGGTGGTGACAATTTTGGTCCCAACGGAATGCAGAAAATATGAATAGTCGTACAGCTTTAGAAACTGATCAAAAGTAGAAAGTTTTGAGCCGGATTTCTATTTTCGGACCGAAACGCCACGTCGCGCACATGTGGCTTAATTTTTTACACGCTGGCATCCGATGTAGATAGGAAAAAATTCAAAACTAGTCCCACAGGTATAGGGGGCGTGACATTTTTTGTCCCAACGGAATGCAGAAAATATGAATAGTCCCACAACTTGTAAAAAACTAGCTAAGGGTCCATAGGAAACTAACTCCGAAAATGTATTTAAGACATGAGATCTCGAACATGAATGCATAATCTTAAATAACAAGTCTCATATATATTATAGCCCGTGGATAATAGCGCAGGTGGGGTTCTAATCAATTCAAAGTTCTTTGATGAGTTTGTCCTTGGGCATTTTAAATATTGCAGGTAATTGACATGCCATTGTCAAAAAAGTTCATCAAAAGCTGCAACCCATAATCCCTCCGATCAAGTTCATAAAATGTTTTTTTTTTTTTTCCTAACGCAGTGTTTGGTTAAGGAGAAATGTAGGAGAGGGAAAGGGAAGTGAGGAAATTTTATTAATTTTCTGTTGTTTGGTTCAATTTTTTATAAGGGGAGGGGATAAGATTTTCCTTCAAATCCATCTCCCCAGGGAAAATACTCTCCCCTCCAAAAGTGGGGGAATTTAGAGTGGAAAATTTTTTACCAACCAAATTACTCTTTTGACCTTATTATGTGAATTATTTTATTTTTTTTGTTTCTTATATCATTAAGGATATAATTGTCATTTTTACAATATTTTTTTCTCTTTCATTTTTCTAACCAAATAAAGTTTGCCGTTTTCCATTCACTCACTTCCTACAAAATCCTTCGTAAAAATTTTACATCATCTCCCCTCCTTTCCAGAATTTATGTAGGTGCCAGAGTCTGACATTACAGCTAATATAAAAAACTACATGAAAAACCNAAAGAAACAGGGCATTTACTGAATTAGTTCTTGCGCGGCCCAGTGTGTTTAAATCATCACCAACCTGCCAGAGCCATACCCAAATAAATGCACCTCAATACTAAAGTAATAATATGTCAAACACATTTTATTTTAACCTCCTCTTTGTGACTACTTTCTTATAAAGGGCTAAATCCCGAGCAAGATCACATAAAAAAGACTCAGCTCAAACCAATCACTCTTTTTCTGGCTAACAGAGCTCATAAATGGGAGAAACAGAATTTTGCTGCCACAAACCATTATATTCTCATAACCAGCTGCTCCTGCTGTCTTTTGTCTTCATGCTTTTTTTCCCTCCATTTTCTTCGAGTTTTTCTTTTGACTTTTATGCCACGTCATGCCCGGCTGCTGAGATGATGGTGAAAAATACCGTCCGATCAGCTTCCAATTTGGATCCAACGGTTCCCGGAAAGCTCCTTCGGTTGCTTTTCCATGACTGCTTTATTGAGGTCTGCATTTTTATTTTTTCCCTTTCTTCCCTTCCTTCTTTTGTAATTTTCTTCGTCTTAACGTAATAACATTTTACGTTATTGGGTTTACATATATTTCTCAGTCTTACTCTAATTTTAGGACAATTATGTATATACTGTTCCAATTGTGTGATTCAATGTGGAAATCAGAATAAAAAGAATTTTATTTCACAATGCAATCCTTCTTTACTCAAAAGGGATGAGATAGGATTGTTTAATCCCTTTTGTCCCATGGGTAAGCTTTACTAAATTTGTAATTATTTGGATACTCAAGGTTATAATGGATGTTATACATATGATTTTTTTGACAAAAATATTATTTTTGTGTTGGGATAAAAATATCCTATCCTCAAGATCTCAAGATGTGATAGATTTATTCTTTCAATTATGGACCCACCTGCAACATATATGTCACATAGGATTTATCCCAATCCTGATCCCTGTTAGTAAACACCGGATAAGGTTGGTTAAGCAATGTTATCTGATATTATTCTGGTAAATAAAAGAGGACTTAGGAATTACAATCAGGCCTCAAGGATTTTAATTCCTTACAAATTCCAGGGTGTAATTTGGAAAATAGAAAGAACTACATATGTGACTTTCTTTGCATTTTGACGACATTTCTTCATGAGAATTATTTGGAATCAAACCTTCATATACATATATGTCCAATTCTAACAAAAAGGCCTATTATTAAAACTGTCCCATTATTTGTGAATTCTAAAGTAATACCATGTTCCTCAATATTTTTCAAGTTTCTTCTATTTTTGAGTACCTGCAGGCTTATATGAGTTATATGACATTTAACAGGTATATCATGTTCTGCTGACAGGGCTGTGATGGATCTGTGTTATTACAAGGAAATGGAACTGAAAAGAGTGATCCAGCCAACAAATCTCTAGGAGGATTTTCAGTGATAGACTCAGCTAAACGAGTGCTCGAAATATTTTGCCCCCAAATTGTCTCTTGTGCTGATATACTTGCATTGGCTGCTAGGGACGCCGTTGAATTTGTACACCAAATGCTTTCTAATAAGCAATGAATTTTTTATTTTATTTTTTATTTTTTTTTTAAATATTTACTTATTTTGGGCTTGATAAATTTTGGATTCAACAATTCAGCATCCATTTTGTGAATTTTTACTTAACAGGCGGGTGGACCTAATATTCAGATCCCGACTGGGAGGAAAGACGGTAAAATTTCTGTATCTGCAAATGTCAGACCAAACATTATAGACACAAGTTTCACGTTAGATGAGATGGCTAAGGTTTTCTCTGCCAAGGGATTATCTATGGACGACCTCGTTACCCTCTCAGGTACACGATTAAGCTGCTGAGCAATCGTATGCATAACGATCACCAGCTTTGATAATCTATGTACATTTTCTTTTATGTGCAGTAATTAAAGTGCCTAATTTACATTTACACCCATGATACATGTAAGTGTGGCACAAGTATGTTATCGGAAAATTTATGATAAGATCACGCTAAGCATGTGAAAGTCAAAACTTGGTTCATAGAAATGGTCATGATAGTCCAACTCAATAGCTATAAATTGAATTTTAACTTTTTTGGTGGTGAGTCTTCAACTTTTAATGCATTGAATAGACAGCACCTTGTAACTACTACTGAGTTAATAGTCCAACATATCATTCGATGGCAGCATTTATGATCTTCGGTCATATATAGGTTGTTTGTAACAAAAAAATATAGGTATGTAGATTTTGTCATTCAAGTCCTTTTAATTTTTCGGCAGGAGCACACACAATTGGAAGATCTCATTGCAACTCATTCAACGACAGATTCAACCTCGACTCTGACGGAAACCTCACGCTGATTGACTCATCGTTAGACCGACAATACGCATCCCAACTCACGAAAATGTGCCAGGCTGGCGCCAGCGATGATTCGGTCACGGTCGAAAACGACCCTGCTTCACCACAGCAGTTTGACAACAATTACTACAAGATTCTGTTGGAACACAGGGGACTTTTCCAGTCAGATTCCGCGTTGCTTAACGATGTAAGGACAAGAGATCGGGTGATGGAATTTGCAGACAGTCAAGATAGTTTCTTTGAGAGCTGGGGTGTGTCCTTTCTGAAACTTGTTAGTGTCGGTGTGAAGACAGATGAAGATGGGGAAATTAGGCAATTATGTGCTGTGTCTAATGGATGAAAATTTGCTAGCATGAATATTTGCAACAAGCTTTTGTGAAGTGTCTCTTAGAAAATCAAACCTAAGCTCTAAAAAATTCTCTTAGAAAATCTTAAAATGTCTTAGAGCTCTCTCTCTCACTCTATCTCTCTGTATCATTAGAATAAAGTAATGAAAAATTCCGATTATATGTGCTTCCTTCTTTTGTAATGGTTTTTCATTGATGTTAAGTTTCCTTCATTGCTAGGTCTTCAAGATCTCCATAATCATATTTATTTTGAAAGTTCAAAGTCATGTAAGAAAATGAGTTTCCTTAATCCTGAATTCGGCGGATCTTGTACCAGCTATTACATATCTGCATTATTCTCTTTCTATTTGTGCTCATGTCACGTCCATGTCACCAACCCGCGTCCAGATCTTCTCAGCGTGTTCCTACACTAAATAAGGAAACAAATCTAACTTATATCTAACTCAATATTCAGCAGATAAACACATAAGAGAACTTGATAAATAAGTTAATCTTCACTTTATTTTGTCTTGCTTCCTTTCCATGTGACTCACAAGGAATATAATTAAATAAAACGTGATTATTAGAATTATGCCAATTCAAAATCCAAACAATCTCCCCTTTAGCATTCTATTCAAAAACTCTATTTCCTAGACTTTGTGATATCAATCCGTCCATTAGGATTAGATTAGAAACGTGTTAACAATTAACAATTAACAAATAATAAAAATCATTCAGACTGTTGCATGGGCTGATTGCATGGGATCTTGCAAAATCTTATCATCTTAACAAAAATATCCAATTATTTCAAACAATTGAATGGCGGGTTGCATGGGATCTAGCATACAATTGCCGACCTGATCCGATCCGATTAAATATATTATCATCTATGGTTGTAGGTATTAATTTACTTAATTATATTCACTATTTAGAAGTCCTTAAAATACTTAATAAAATAATCAGAATATCTATGTTTAAATCATAATAACTTAATAACTAATTTAAAATATTAATAAAAGTTTTTAAAATGTAGTCAATTAAACTATAAAAAGGTACATCCCCATTGAATATAATATTATCAAAAATTTAAATAATATACTAATAAAAATAAAATTTGATGGTCGGGTACAATTCAGAATTATAAATTTTCACCTTTGAAGTATCTATATACATTAAAAAAATATTCAATTTTCAAAAATATATTTTTTTTCTTATATAGTATTTTATAAATGAAAAATAAGTAATAAAAAAGCAATGTATAATAATTTAAATTATAGCACTTGGTAATTATGGAAATATATAATATATCTTAATATTTGAATAGATACTATGTAACTCATAATATAGGTTGAAAAAATGGATTAAAGAAATAAATATAAATAAAAAATAAAAACATAAAAAAGAAAATATTCAACCATAAAAAAATTGTGTGTTGCATAAGGGTTAAAGTTATTAAGAAAATAAAATTTATTTATCAAAGTTTTTAACATTTAATGCATTTATAATTATAGCGGAAGATAAATATTATAGGTTAAACGTTGGTTAGTTATCAAACAATGCGTAAATTATGAATTGTTAAAAAAATTATAAGACTATGATAAACGCCAATTTTATAAGTACATACAAGTAATTTGTATGCAAATATCATATGATCATATACATTTATAATATTTTATGAACTAATAAATAATAAAATTTATATATTAAATAGTCAAAAACTACAAAAGATAATATATAAAAATAGAAATTAACAATAATAGTAAAAAAATAAATGTCATATTATTACTGAATAAAATATAGTAGAGAATATAATTTCATACTGTCTTAAATAAATTTATAACATTTAAGTAAAAAATATATTTTGTATTGCACCTCGTGCATCGCACGGGTATCAGCACTATTTACATTTATTAACAAATCATGAAATCGGCATATATATAAATAAGTTGGCTACTTGGGACTATCGATAATCTGGCAATCATGTGCACAATCTGGGGGTCCCCTCACACAGAAACTCGGGAAGGTACGAGGCCAGCATCTGAGCGCTAGACTTAGGATGGGCCCTAATCAGCACACATCCAAGTCGTAACTATAATCTGAAATCTTGACCAAGACGGGATCACTCATCCGTCTCGGTCCTCAATCTACTCACACACATACTTCAAACAGGATAAGCAATTAAAAGCAATGAGATACACAGTACAGGTCCCCTCTTGGAAGCTGGTGATATGCAAATGTTGGAATGGATGTGTAACAGGAGAAGGCTCGACTCTCCTCAAGCTACAAAATATTTGTGCAAAATATTCTAAGTGCTAAGCTCAAACTGAAAACTCGAATCTTAATCTTTGATCTTAGTAGGTTCGCTCACTCGGTTTTAAAATCATTTAAACACATTTTATAAAATTACGAGCAACTTTGAAAATTTATTGTCTTGAGGATTTCTAGAGTTCTCTGAAATATTTTTAAGTTCGGGAACTGAAACCTGACTTGATCTTAATCTGACTTGGTTCGAAAAATTACTGAAATCTCAGTTCACGCTCAAACGATATTCCGAACTCAAACTCCCGAATCGTCTGGACTGCCCGGACTAATTCGGCTGAACCGAAAACTTCTCGAATTGTCTGAACTGGCCGGAACAGTTTGGCTGGACTGGACCGGCGGCTCGCTCAGAACCGACTGGTCGCTCGTTGGCTATGTGCAGCTCGGCTCAACCGTGATTCGGGTTCGGCGTAGCAACTCACGGGCACGCACGAACACGGGGGACACTGCTTCACCGAAGCACGGGCTTTAAGCGGTGCCATGGCCACTGACGAAGGGGCGTGCTTGGTCCATGGCTAACGGAAAGGCGCGTTGACGGGAAGGTTGGACGGACGCATGGGCGCTGAGCAGAGCGCAGAAGCGCGGCTCGGTAGGACTCGGTGCACGGGCACACACTCGGTGGCTCGGCTCCAACAATGGAACGAGATTGGGACACGTGTGCGGGAGGTCGATAAGCATTGAGGATACGTGCTAATGCACGTCGGTTGGTTGTCTACGCTCGCTACGAGGCACACGGCCTCAGTAGCCTTCTTAGGCTCGGTTATGGTCTCGCCGGCCGACGGACCAAACCCCGACAACCTCCAAGGACTCCTTAATAACCCTATGACGTCTAAAGTCATTTATATGCTACTAGGGTTCGGGCGATTATGCTCGGATCTAAAAAATCACTCGGTGTTCGAAAACGGGCGAAACTAGAGTTCTAGTTGTCCGAGCAACCTAACTCATTTTAAGCCGAAACTTTAACTCTAAGTTCAACATGATTTATAAGGTATTTAGAATCAACAACTTCAGCTAAACCTCAACTAAAACAATTTCTAAAAATACTACAAATCAAGGATAAAGTCCCAATTTATATACTATACAAAACGATCTCCAAAAATCACGAAATTCTAATCACAACAACCTCAACATATATATTATTTATCTTTAAAATATCATAGCAAGATTAAACTTCTAACTTAATCAACTAAAATAGGTCATTGTAGATCTAGATCTACAATTTCGGTTCATATAGTAAATCGTCTCTAAAAATTACCAAATTTTAACCTCAACCTCAAAACAAGAAGATAAGTGTTTATAAAGATGGAATCATGAATTTATCACTTATATAACTTGAGATATAAAAATCATTCCTTTAAACTCATAAAATATATATCTATTCATTTCTCACTCAAATTCATGATTTATCATTTTTAAAACAAACTACAATTGTTGTCTAAGCCATAAGAGGAAGGGTTTTGTTAATACCTAATTTTGGCCTAGCCTGTTAAAATATTACACGTGGATATGTATTATATCAATTATTTTATTTTTGGGATATTTTGGGCCTTAAATAATATTGCTTGTGATAATATCAGGCCCATTAAACATATATATAAATATCCCAATGATGGACCTGGATAGATAAGTCTGAGGGGGCGCCATTATTATTTTCTCTGTTTTTATCTGAAGCGGTGCAGGAGAAAAGAACTTCTCCAGAAAAGAACTTCTCCCTGCTTCTTTCGTTAAAACTACATCATCTTCTTCAATATTTTCTAGACTTGTTCATACAAAAATTATACAAAAATCCAATACAAAAAATATACAATAAATTCTTCTGAACCCCCCATGTTGATCAATTTTCGAGCATCAACAGTTTGGCGCTAGAGGAAGGGGGCTCGTAAATTATTCGAGGCAATTTTCCGGCTTAACAACACATACGCCATCATGTATTGTTACAGATTGGATATAGTCTCTACCATTCAATTCCTTTTGTTCTTTCTCAAACACCACCTCAGAAAAGAAATCTCTCCTTCTTAATCAAATTCGTTCTGTATCCTTTCTGGCTATAAAAAAATGACCCTCCAAAAGCTACAACACAAAGACGCAGAAAAACATTCGCTGCACCTGCTCTTATCTCCATGCTTTTAGCCCTCATGTTGGTCTATTGCATA